GCGGGATTACGGAGTGATGTAATCTAGAACACTGACTCATTAATGTGGCACAGAATGGGTTAACCGCTGGTAATCTCACTCAAACCACAACACACACACACACACACACACACACACGCTGACACATCTCAACCATTCTGAAGGAGATTAATTAGAAAAGCACTGACGGTCTGAAGCTATGAAGGAAATATGGTCAAAGTTTGTGTTTCCATGATTTCAACCGAAACGTTCACTCACTGAATCAGATCATTACACACAGCGTTTGATCCTCTAAAAATGCTGGGTTATTGCAACCTAATTCTGGGTAAAATACAGATTAAACAAACTGCTCTGGGTTCATTTATTTCACTTCATTTATAGGCCCAAATGTAACCCAATGTTTGTTTGTTTTTGTCCATATTATTAAATTGAGAATACACAAAATTTGCAGAGTCGTTGCACAGATTAACCATAAGAGAGTGAAACTTGATCATTTGTATGTGTTTTAGGGTGCTTTCACACCTACACTTTTGTTTGGGAACGTGTCTCGTTTGCCCAGTTAGCTCGTTTTTTTGGGATATGTGAAACCACCAATCGCTCTCAGATCCGCTCCAAAGCAATCGCTCCGAGATCGCTTGAATGAGGTGATCTCGGCTCGATTGAAACGAACTCTGGAGCAGTTCGATTGCAGTGAGAAAGCGATCCGATCCGAGTGCGGTTATATCAAAGTGTTTTATGGATATTTAATAGGCTTACGGCTATATGAAGACAGAATTATGAGTAGGGCGGGAAGTTTCGCGAGTCTCCCGGATGCCCACAAACGAGTGATGATCTCCCGGTAATCTTGTGTCTCCCTCCCGGTCCTCAAATACATTGCGCACCCTTCTCACCCCTCCCCACCACATCTTTCTCTTCAGACACGCCGCGCACACCTTGTCAAACACCACCAAACCACCACCTCTGCTGACAGCTGAGCGGGACGCTGCAAAATAAACCCTGACACTCTGACCAATGTGAGGAGAGTTTACTCACACGTGACTTGTTTTAGCTCTTTTGGTCCGATTAGAAACTTTGCAGTGTGAAAGCGAACCAAGAGCAAAGATCAACAATGTAACATTTGTCATCTCTGTTTCAGATCAACTGAATCGGTTCACAGGTGTGAACGCACCCTTAAAGGCATTTCACAAGAATCAAGCAGAATAATGTACAACATTTGTAACTTTAATGAAGAATAATTTTACTGAATTATTAATACTTATAATGAAGATTGTTTTTATCTTTTTATATTCCTTTATTCAGTTTCTGCCTCTGAATACTCTCTGGATAACCACTGTTTATTTGACTTTTTCTTTGCTCTATTGTAATCATTCTCACTTGCAATTTGTTCATTATTTTTATACACGACTCACACCCTAACAAAATCACCACAATCAACCTAAATTGAGTTTTCCCCCCAAAACAGAGCTATTCAAGTCATCTGGTGAAATTGTATTCATATTGCAATATGTAATAGCAGAAGAACTAAACATCGCAATGTCAGATTTTTCCTATATCGTGTAGCCCTAGTCCATTTACATATTTGACCCAATTTGGGTTTAAATAATGCAGCATTTCTAGAGGGAGGAAACAGACGTCAGGCTCAGACGCACACCTGTACTCCTGGTCTAGAAAGCCTCTGGTTATGAAAACACTTGGCTTCAATGCAGAAAATCATGCAATATAAACACAGAGTTAACTTTCAATGAGCAAAGTGTGTGTTAAAAAGCCATATTGTGAATATAGTCGGCACAAATACCTTTAAACATTAGAATATTGTTGTTTTTAACTTTGAAACAACTATTAGTGTTAGGTAAAGTTAATAAATTGGGTTATTGAATAACTTTTAAGGCCATGTTTGCATTAAGATTGCATTAAGATTTGTATGAAAGCTTCACATTTATGGCTCGAAGTTTGGCCAGAGGAGAAATGGTCGTGGCCGTCTGAGCATAGTTTCTCTCAAGTTTTTTTATCCTTCACTTTCGCCAATTGGTGAAATTTTTCCTCGCCGCTGGCTTGCATAGTTGATCATCAATGAATTTGCTCTTCAGTGTTTGGAGTATTGAATATTAAACCACACTGAACTGAGCAGAACTGAACTTAAACACTGAAAACTGAACTACACTGGTTCAATTCACCATGATCTTCTTTATGAAGCTGCTTTGACACAATTTACACTGTAAAGGCGCTATACAAATAAAGCTGATGTGAACATTAAACAGCACAGCAGCCTGACTGATATAATTGCTGCTGAATTACGTGATTCCAAATACCTAATCAAAACTGTTCAATGCTGAAATCTGGCAAAAGGATTCAGCTTTCAAAACATAATTTCAACAAGTTCAACCTTGATTTATTAAATGCACAGTAAGACTGCAAAATACATGGCTTCAGCATCGATATCGCAACACACGTATCTGCAATCGCAAGATATGCAATGTAGAGTCAGATTATAGTTGACCAGGAGCGACAGAATTGTGTTTAATTATTGTATTTATATGGAATACAAAAAATAATAATTAAATGTTTTTCTTAGGATATTTGTCTTGTTTCTCGTCTAAATATCTACATTTCAAAGTGAAAACAAGATTATTTTAATTAGCCCATTAGCAGATAATGTAGCTTGTTTTAAGGAAAAACTCCTAATTTCCACTTACTTCTTCATAAGTTGAAAACAAAACAATATTCTTACTTGATCTAAGAGTTTTTAGACATTTAGACTAGAATCTAAACTGAGAAAAGCCTTTTTGCATAGGTATTATTCAATTTCTGTAGCTGAATACTGTTAGACAACCCAGAAAACTGTTAAATAGTGCTATTCAACTAAATCTTGTGAAACTGTACTCATACCGCAATATTTATCACTTTATAATAAAGCATCGTAACATTAGATTTTGCCAATATTGTGCAGCCATGTTGCTGAAAAGTGGCTAAAAAAATCCAATTATTATTTTAATACAGGAAGAAACCCCTTAATTTCAAGAAGCTGTAAAAAAAAACCTACTAAATCAGTAGTGAAACGTTAATAAGACCAATAAGATATTGAAGCTTTAACGCTAACTTTAAATGAAATGGTATATAAACCACCCTGTTCAATATTTACTCACGCTTTACTTGTTTCAAACCTGTCTGAGAGATTTGTTTTAAGACACTCAAGATATTGTGCAGAATTTGGAAACCGGCAACTATTGACTTCCATAGCATTTGTTTACCTACCATGAAAGATTCATTCTTCAAAGTATCTTCTTTTGTAGTAGGTTTGGAACAAATTAATGGTGAGTAAATGATTTCTTTGGTCTCTTTAATGCATGTTTGGTTTTTTGATACAGCACAGGGTCCTTTTATACAAGCCTAACGCCATCCTGATTTGACCAAGTAGAACATCTTCCTGGATTAACATCTAACAGAACATTCCAATCAGCCAATCAGAATAAAGGGATACTTTACCGTTTAGGTTAAGTTTAAGCGCACGGTTCGATTTATGCACTTCTAATGTTATCCAACTCTAATTTTGTGAATAATCTATAGATATGCTTGGGTTTTGGGCATAGGGAATAGGTATGGATTACATTTTCCCACAAAAATGATGTTCCAGGATGAACATAGATGTTAATCCAGGATCACATCATACTCAGCAAAATCATGAGGTGAAGGAAAACAATTTAATTTCCGAATGAATTCATCCTTTTTCCAGCAGACGATATAACTTACAGGCATTAATCAAAAAACCGAAACTTTTTTGACCAATCAGAAATCAGCAGTGGTCTCTGCTGGCTTCTGATTGGTTAGTACAGTGTTCCAAACGTTCCAAGTGGTTTACTAACAACGATACATATAAAGTGCACATGTTAAAGAGACAGTTCACCCAAAACTGAAGCTTCTCTCATCATCGACTCTCACCCTCAATCAAAACATGCTTGACTTATTTTCCTCAGTGATAAGTAACCATTGACTACCATAGTATTTCTTTTCCTAAAGAGGAACTCGATGATTAAAAATTGTGGGAATTCTTTAATGTAGCCTCTTTATTGTTCAACAGAAGAAAAAAAGCCACTTGAGGAGGAGTAAACAGTGAGAATTTTAATTCTTGAGTGATTGATCCCTTTAACTCAACCATAACTATCAGTGGACATCTTAAAACATACACAAACATACAGCAGAACGCTGCCGCTCATGTAAAAAGCCTCGCTATCCTGTTAACATTTAACGCTAGTTGAAAGTTAACAGGACAAACCCTTTCTAAACAAAACTGGTGGCTGATTGTACTGATTAGCGGTGACTGCAAACTGATCGATAAAGAGCTGTCAGCTAATGAAAACCAGAAACTCTCCAACACACCACACCACACCGCTTTCACCTGGGGTGAGGTTGGTTTATATTCACACACTCAGACTGCACCTTCTTAATATAATTGAATCAAATATAATTAAGTAGTATTTGCTAATTCTAAATCGAGAAACCACATTATCAGCCAATGAAAACACAAATCAAAGTACAACACAGTCCACAGAGTCAATCAAATAGTGCTGATGTTGTTGTGAAGTCATACCTTACGTCTGATTTTAGACCTAATATTTAAAGTATCATGGTAAACAATGTACGCATGTATAATATACAAGTTGTCACTGAACTAAATGTAAAATTAACGTCACCCCAATGTTTCTTCACAGATTGGGGTAAATTTAATTTAATACTCGCACATTCAAACTTACTCCTTAATAATATAACTTCATGAAAGTATTCTTTGCAAATTCTACATCAGCAGCTAATAACTATGTACAACATTGTTTACAGTAAATTAAATAGTGCTGATGTTGTTTTGAAGCCATGCTTACATGCGATTTCACACTGAATATTCAAAGTAGCATGGTAAACATTATAGGGAGCGTGTCATCACCAGTTGTCACCGAACGAATGTGCGAAAATAAACCCAACTTCACCCTCAATGCGCGTTCACACAGGCGAGCGCTAAACCGAATTCATACCTGATTGAGATCCTGATCCGTCAGCAGATGCAGCTCTCGCGGCTTGAAGCAGTTCTGACACTTGCTTTTGTTGAAAATGTTCGCCTGAAATTTCCTACACGTGTTTTCCTTCGCGCTCGACATCTTTCGCTCCTCCGTTTGTGCGCGTTTTCGATGCCGCACCGAATAGCAGAGCGACCGTTACAATCCCGAGAGTCTTCAGCCGATCCTAGAGCCCGACATCAGCCTACACATGACCGGTAACGGCGGCGGCGGGTCCCCGGTAACGGTTTAAACGGCAGGACGAGCGCTTTATGTAAGCAGATCTCTAGTCGACAGGCCTGATGTGTTGGAGTTCATGGCCTGCCCTCACAAAGCCACTCTCTAATCGCATTTCTGCCCGATCAATGGTGGAATTGTGCAAGCGGTAAACAAAGCGCTGACTTCACGTGTTCCCGCGCTCGACCGAAGGCTGGAGCTCCCGGTGGACACGCGGAATTCCAGGCGGTGTGGAGACACGGAGCTCCGTGGGTCTTCGGTCCCGGCTGAAGTTTCCTCTGTTAGCGGCTAATGGAGGCTCTTGGTCCCGGTGGATCAGAAGCCAGTGCTCGGCGAAGCTCCGCCGGCAGCAGCAGTGCGCATGTCTGAGCTCGACCCTACGGCTCCATCAGCTGCCAGAGGCGACCGGAGAACGGGTTACCGGGGCGAAATACAGTCTGTTTTCTTCCTCAGCGGCGCTCGAGCTTCCCAATGGAGGAGGACGCTCGTAGATCTGCTGCTGGAATTCTGGATTTCTCTCGCGAGAGTTCAGACTGAGCGCGAGATCTGAGCAGGAGCAGGACCAAGTGTGCCGCAAGCCTGCGTTTGAGTGAAGGTTTCGGCCGTTAGATCGCCCCCTGTGGGCTGGCTGCAGTACAAGTCATAAAGCCCGCCTCCTCCGTGTTAATGAAGGAGACTTGAGCCCAAATAAAAAAAAATATTACACTTGCAATAAAATGTCCCGAAAGATAGTTCTGGTCGATTAAGGCACTGGTTATTGTGCTGAAATAGGTGCAGATCTTCATTTTTGTAAACAGTTTGTTTTTAGCAGTAATTTAATGCTGGGCGTGTCATCGTGATTGACAGCTGTAATTGACAGTTTCTCAAAGCGCGGCGTCTGAGCTTCGGCAGGAGACTGAAGTGTTATTATTCGATTTCTGTGTTATTTTACCATGACAAAATGAGTTCAGCAGTAAACTATAGTTTCTGACATACATGATCCTGGTGGAACACTGTTTATTCGCTAAGTTCAGGGCTTTTTTCGGGCTTTATTAGTTTGCTGATACACGCCTAGCCACCCAGATAGCAAAACACAGTTCCGGCTAGATTCTCGCCTGCCGGAGACTTATCTCTTAGAGCTCAGACTGACTAATGTTACCTCTGCTGGACCTACTCCGGATGCCTGGACTCACTACCCAATTCCAGCCCGAGTCAATCGAGCCAGATGCGGCGGCCGAGCGAGCAGGTGCTGCCGCATGCGAGCCGGAATCAGCCCGCGACGCCGCGAGTAAGTTATGCGCTGCGGCCCGGAGCTGGCGCGATTGAATATATAAAACCCTCATATTTGTTAACGTTATTACATCCATTTGTGTTGATATGACAGCAAACGCATGCTGAGAAGTTCGGGGGGCGTAGTTGATTTTACATAAAGCGTTTGATTGGAAGCTCGACTCTGCTCATTTTCGCGGCTCCTCCTCTGGCTCCATCAGACAATCCTTCTGCGCATGTCTGGCTCCAATTTCAGCAGTCTTTTGCGACAGTTTGTGCCCGTCAAGCAGGCGTTTTGCCCTCAAGGCGTTCAATGGGAAAAAGGGCTGTCGCGTCGTCCATATTTTTTACAGTCCTTGAGCAGGACGGGCCCGAATGAAGAGGCCACCCTGTGGAGACCAAACATATACACACAATCACGTACAGTTCTGATCATGTCAATATGGAGCAAAATAAATCTAAATAGCTTCTTAAATCTACGCCACGAAGACAGTGAAGACAGATCTGAAGGCAAAAGGGGTCCAACCCGGTACTAGCAAGGTGTACCTAATAAAGTGGCCAGTGAGTGTATTTACTGTATATATAAAACACAAGGATACTTTAACATTTAAATTAATTAACTACATATTTAAATGTTTCCCAGCGCTGGGTTGCTACTGGAAGGGCATCCGCTACGTAAGACATATGCTAGAATAGTTGGCGGTTCATTCCGCTGTGGCGACCTCTGATTAATAAAGGGATTAAGCCGAAAATAAAATAAATGAATGACATATTCGGATGTACTCCAATAGTCTGTGTGGTCAAGCAGCAGTTCTATAGTGCCCCACCGTACACTGTGTGTGAAGAGTGTGTGAACAGATGAACAGCTCTCAGCATGTCAGTCTGTGTTTGAGCCTCTGCTATTAAAAGAGCTGTGATCCGGACACTATTTCCACACTCACACACACACACACACTGAGTCTGAATGAGCAGGAGAACAGTCAGACTCACACACGTTTCTCCTGGAGACTGGTGTAACCGTCCACACACACGGTAAGAACACTGCAAATAAAGCAGATTACTGTCTGCTCTGCTGTATGTGGGGTTACCGTGTGTGTGTGTGTGTGTGTGTGTGTGTGGTCTTTGACATTGAATCTCAGCACTGATGTGTGAGTGAGAGTGTGTATTTGTCCATATGAGTGTGTGTAATATGTCTGTATGTGTGTGTGTGTGTGAGAGAGAAATAGAGTGTCTGTATGTGTTTGACACTGAATTTCAGATCTAATGTGTGTGTGTGTGAAAGTGTGTAAATGTGTGTTTCTGTGTCTTTTTGTTTGTCACTGAATCTCCGCTGTGATGTGTGTGTTCCAGTGGATTTGTAAGGGTGTGTGTATCTTGTATTGCTTACATTATGGGGACCAGATGTCCCCACAAGTATAGTAATACCAGTATATTTTGACCTTGTGGGGACATTCCTCTGGTCTCCATGAGAAAAAGGGCTCATAAATCATGCAAAATGAAGGATTGTGAAGATGTAAAAGAGCAGATTGTTTGCTGTGAGGGTTCAGTTTAGGGGAAGAGGAGAGAATATACAGTATGTACAGTAGACAAGTGTGTGTGTGTTTCTCTGCTGATCTGTTGCACTGCTGAATCCAAATATGTGCCGCTGGTGTATCAGTGTCAGCGCTGAGAGCTGCGCTATTTATAGATCTGCTCCTCACTCCACTTTTCTAGACACACACGCACGCACACACACACACACACACACACACACACACACACACAAAGGCACACACACACACACACACACACACACAAAGGCACACACACACGTTTCTAATATAAAAAAAAAATAGAAATACTGAAAAATGACCTTTATCTGTTAAACAGCACTTTAAATTATTAAAAATTCTGTGTGTATATACCCCTCTCATCGGTTTACTTGTTTGTTTGTTTTTAATAAAATATAAATATAATATAATAATAAAAAAGCTTAACATTAAACATTTTAATAATCAAAACTCAGAATTACAACTAATAAAATCATATTTGTGAGACAAATGTCAAATTACAAGAAACTAAATCAGAATTTTATGATGTAAATTTACAACATTAAAATGTAAAAAACTTATTAAAGCCTAAAAATGACAAGAAATGTGTTAAAATGACAAGAAATAAGTCATATCACTGTCAAATTTCCCCCCAAAAATACAAAAAAGTAAATGCAAGTTATTTATTATATTTTAGTTTTAATATATATATATTTTTTTATTTTTCATAATTTGTTTTATTTGTTCATTTATTTTATTATTTATGTATTTATTATATATATTTTAATTTAAATATTTTTTGTTTATTTCTAACATATTGATATATATATTTTTATATATATATTGTAGTTTCAATATTTATTTTTTCTTTTTTTCATTTATTTATGTATGATATTTATACATTTTCATTTATTTGGATTTTTTTTATTTATTATTTACTATATTTTATTTTATTCTGCTCAACAAGGCTGCATTTACCTCATCAAAAATACAATACACATTGAGAAATGTTGTCAAACTGTTTAAAAGTAGTTTATAATTTGATTTAATCATTTATTCCAGTGCCTTAAGATGAATTTTCAGCTTCATTACTCCAGTCTTCAGTCACATGATCTTTCAGAAATCAATTTGAAATATTATTGTTATTATTATCATTAGTATTATTAATGGTAACAGCAATAAAAGCAATAATAACTGGAGTAATAATTTCATTTGAAACTACATAAAATCTAATAAGAAAGCAGTTATTAATTTTTTTTTATAAATATTTATAAAAACAATTTTTTTATTTATTTGACATTTATTTTTGTGGTTCAAAACATTTAAATAGTTTTAGCTGAAAATATTAGGTTATAACTTTCATAAAACAACAACACTCCAGGTCATGCAGGTATTCTAAAAGGAATATAAATAAATAATTGACTGCAGTCCATTCAGAGTGGAAAGATATGCATTATTTTCTAATAATTCCCCATCCTGGAAGTCATTATTCTGCTTATACACTGGTTCCCAAAGCTAAATCCACAGTTGAGATGTTGTAATTGAGAGTTTATTCGTCAGGTGTGTGTCCTGCTCAAGCATCTCCTGTGTGTAGCACTAGTGTCCTCCACATCCCCTCCTTCTGATGTGTTCTGATGTGATTTCTGACTGTTGTAGTTGTAGAGTGAAATAACTCTAATCAATCAGTGGAGTGATATGGAGCCACTCCAAACCTGCCGGAACTACTTTAGCTGTTAACATTAACCAAACACCTTAGAATGCTCATCAGCCAATCAGCATCAAGTATCCAGCAGAGCGGTAGAATAAAGTATGCCTAATGAGGATTTAATCATCATTTGCTCCTCCAGTAAATGTGTGTGTATGTGTGTGTGTGTGTTTGTGTTTTCAGAGGATGGCCGTCCCGTCTGTGATGGTGCTGCCGCTGCTGATCGTGGTGTTTGCTGGAGTTTACTATGTCTATAATGAGGTGATGCGCTTCATGTCCAAGTCTGTGGTGAGGAATAAAGTGGTGGTGATCACAGACGCCGTGTCCGGGATGGGAAGCGGTAAAGATTAATAATGCTCCGTTAATAACTTCCGCACCACAACATTCAGCTAAACCCAACCAGGCTCATTATTGATATGTACCCCTATATATATTTCTGGAGATCGTAAAATAGGTCTCAGGAGCTACATTGCTTTGCAGTTTTTGTGAATGTTTTTGCAGATTTCTCTCGGGTGTGTCATTCACGCCTGCTGTTCTCACGTAAATCCACCAGGGGCTGCTGTCGACCAACTGACCGTGTTTTCAAAAGTACTCCAGAACAAGAAAAGCCCTTGCGACCCCCTGATTTGTAGCATGTTTACCACAATCTCACCACATTATCTACTAGTTTATTTTAGTTTTTGGCTTCTGTTTTTGCCTTATCTGCTTTATTATTCTTTGCCAGACTCAAACCCTGTTGTCGTGGTCAATTCTTCTCTGTGTCACCAACATACGCAGCGAGCTACTGGACAAACTTGTAGCAGCCGGTAGCCTGAAAAGGAACAGAAGCAGTCGGCAATGTTATACCACCCCATAGCGTTCATTTCAAAGACGAAATGCAGTCATGAGTACTTCTGGCTACATAATTCACGATCTCCAGAAATGTATACAGGGGTATGTTTGCACCCTGAGCATGTGTTGCAACTAAACCACACTGAAAAGAATGATTAATTGGATTTACTACATTTTTTTATGTAAGTGGTTGCAAATTCATGCATATGGGCTGAATTAAAACAAACAAATGAGATGAAGTAATGTTCAAGTTCATTTATTTGTTTAAATTCAGCCCATAGCATGTGTTTACATGGACACCAATACTCCGATTGTAGAATGATTAAGAGAATACTCTGATTAAGAGTCCACCATATAAACAGAAGATTAATTAAGGTCATTATGGAACTAAACAGAAATGGAATTAAGATATTGGGTATGCTGCATTACTAAAATGACCTGTAAACACCTTAATCAAACTGTCTGTGGGATTTTCACCGCATTTTGTGGCAGTCTACACACGCACGGCTGTCTGACACTATCCTCTGCACCTACCAAGTCAGTAAAGGACCACAGACACACACATTGCCACATACGGAGGGGTTTTCCCCATGTGAGCCACTCGGTGGCTCAGTGGTTAGCACTGTCACCTCACAACAAGAAGGTCGCTGGTTCGAGTCCTGGTGTTTCTGTGTGGAGTTTGCATGTTCTCCCTATGTTGGCGTGGGTTTCCTCCGGGTGCTCCGGTTACAGTACAAACACATGCGCTATTGGGGAATTGATGAAATTGGGCGTAGTGTATGAGTGTGTGTGTGTGTGTGTGTTTGTGTGTGTGTATGGGTGTTTCCCAATGATGGGTTGCAGCTGGAAGGGTATCTGCTGTGTAAAAATACATGAATGAATGAGAAAAGTGAGAAAAAAACATTGTTTGTGCCCTGATTTCAGTGTGACGTGTGTGTGTGTGTCTGTGTGTGTGTTCAGAGTGTGCGCGTCTGTTTCACGCTGGCGGGGCGAGGCTGGTTCTGTGTGGGCCGAGCTGGGATAAACTGGAGTCTCTGTATGACAGTCTGTGCAGCGGATCAGACCCCAGTCAGGTGCGTATCACAACATGTGTGTGTGTGTGTGTGTGTGTGTCAATATTATTCGCCCCTTCAGCAATATTAGTGTTGGATTGTCTCCAGAACAAACCACTGTTATACAATGACTTGCCTAATTACCCTAACTTTACCCTGATTACCCTAGTAAAGCCTTTACATGTCTATCTAGTCTAATATTATGTGCTGTTAATAAAATAAATCAGTGATTGGAAATTAATTATAAAGACTATTCTGAGTAGAAGAATGCAAATGCATCTGGATTGTGAATAATTGAGCTGTAGATCAGCTCATATAATATCGGCAGCTCCTCATGAATGTGTGTGCTCCGGTTTCAGACCTTCACACCGAAGCTGGTCCTGCTGGACTTCAGTGATATGGAGAACATTTCAGACGTGGTGTCGGAGATCTGCGAGTGTTACGGCTGTGTGGACGTGCTGATCTGCAACAGCAGCATGAAGGTGAAAGCGCCGGTGCAGAATCTCTCTCTGGAGATGGACAAAACCATCATGGACGTCAATTACTTCGGGCCGATCACACTGGCCAAAGGTAGATCACAGCTGGAGGACACACACACAGCACATAATGACGAGGTAACACTTTATTCTGATGGTCCATTTGAGTAATAGACTGTCTGCTTAGTATCTGTTGATACTGCTGCTAAACAGACATTAACTGACTATAAGGAACTTTGTTGGCATGTAGATGCAGTGTAACTTCAATTCAACAAACAGAACATCAGAATAAAGGAACCAAAGATGCTCTTACATAGAGCCTTCATCTCGTTTCCAGTCTAAATATCTTAAAATCCTTTAATCAAGAAGCATTTTCTAGACAAGCACTAAATATAGTCTTGTTTTCAGAAATGATGAGTCAGAATGAAGAGAAATTATCATTAAAACAAGCTAAATAATCCAGCTTTCCCTTTGAAATATGTAAATTTAGCTTCATTGTCAGATTATTCTGCTTGTTTTAAAGAAAAACTCTCTTCAATCTGACTCATTATTTCTGAAAACAGGACTATACTTTCTGCTTGTCTAGAAAATGCTTCTTGATTTAGGAGTTTTTAGATATTTGGACTAGAAACAAGAGAAAACTCTGAGTAAGAAAAGCATTTTGAGCAGTACAGGAGACACTCTCGAGATGCCTCCATCGACTTTTCTTGTTTTGATTTATTGCTGAAGTTTTTATCATGAGGTTGCAATAGGCTCATTCTGAAAGCGTAGCCCTGTATACATTTCTGGAGATCTCAAATTATATAGCCAGAGGTACGTATGACTGCATTTTGTCTTTAAAATGAACTCTACGGGGCGGTATGATGCCATTCCTTTTCACGCTAGCAGCTGACCGATTACCTCTGTATGGACGGCTTTACTGCTGTTACCAGTTTGTCCAGTGGTTCGCCCCGTACATTATAGGATTTGGGATGCAGAACAGAGTTGACCCTGATGATGGGGGTCGAGTTTGGCGAAGAACGATTCCAGAAAGCGGGTAAGACAAAAAGTTTAATAAACAAGTAAATAACAGGGTGAGAATGTAGTGAGATCTGAAAACATGGTAAAAATGAGGCGAATTCTCATTCTGAATTGCTTTTGAAAACACTGTTGGCTGGGCTGAGGGGAAGAGAGTGAGTGAGGGGGATCGGTCAGTCAGTCAATCGAAAGCGGCCTCTGGTGGATTTACTTGAGAGCAGCAGGCGCAAATGGCACTCGAGAGAGAAATTAGAGATCTGAAAAAACATACACAGAGGCATCTGGTGGATTCATGAAGACAACAACTGAACAAAAAAAGACATATCTCCTGAGACGTATTTGGTGTTCTCCAGAAATGTATACAGAGGTACATGTTCATAATGAGCCTGGGTTGAGTTTGTGTCTTGTTTCAAGTCCAGATATCTAAATATTCTTAAATCAAGAAGCCTTTTCTAGACCAGCAGAACATACAGTGCTGTTTTCAGCAATAATGAAGAGAGTTTTCCCTTAAAACAAGCAGAATAATCTAGTTTTTGAAATTAGTCTATTTTTCTGACAGGCGTCCTGCCGCTGATGATCACCAGACGCACCGGTCAGTTTGTGCTGGTCAACAGCATCCAGGGGAAACTGGCTCTTCCGTTCAGAACCTGCTGTAAGAGTCTTCATTTACCAAACATCTGTAGATTACAAAACACACAGCACACACTGTAGAATATATCTGGATCTGTTCATGAACAGCTTCCATGTTTTCCGTTTGTTTGCGGTGGTAAACTGCATTATGGGATGTTGATCTCTGCTCTGTCCACTTCTGATGCTGAATATTCTGCTCTACAGTTTAACAAAGTGACTTTTATTGACATTTTAGTGGTTTGAAATAATATAAGAAGAAATATCTAGAGGAGTGTGTAGAATAGCGGAACATGTGCTGCAGTTTATTACAAGGTGTTTATAGTGTAATACACAACACCAACCCAGCCAGAATAGCACTGCACACTATTACACACGTGCAGGACACACACTTTCGAGTGTTAAAAGTTGCTAGAAGAAAGATCAAAATCACGTAATGCCGCTCAGAAGCTGAAATAAACTGAGAAAATAAAAACAAGAATCATTAAATACAGAAAACTGATAAATTACAGATGTTTTTATGTTATTATGATGATGAAACCTCTTTACAGAATATAAACAGACCGTTTTTATTGATAACCGTTGTGCTGTTGGGTCGTTTTCATCCACTCTGGGCTGATTTTGAGGCTTAATTTGGTCCCAGCTATCTCTGTTTCAGCAAATGTAATAATTTTTGCTGACAAATCTTATTTTGACAAATATTTTGGGCACAAAAACACCTCAAAACACTGTTCAGACTGACTTCCCTTTGGTGCTGTTGGTGCTGGTATTGACTTCCATTATAATCAGATTTATTGACTGTAAAGCATATATAATCATGCATTCTTGAGTGTTGCTGGTTTTCCCTGTAGGGTTTAAGAGGGCTGATCTGTCATTTATACTGCTGATCGTCTGTTACAATGCAAAAAAAAAGCTTGATATGTCTGAGAAACTGTAAATGCACCCCTCAGCTGTCAGAACACGGTAAACCCAGTGAGTGTATTCCTACACACACACACACACACTATAACCTGCTGTTTTACTCCACTGAACTCCATATAAAAGACAGAAAGTCAATCTTAATGGTTAATGCTGATAACTGATGGTCAACAGTATAAATGACAGATCATCCCTCTTAATCCCAACAGGGGAAACCAGCAAGAACACATGATCATCTGCTGTCATGGCTGCACAGTCAATACATGTGATTATGATGGAAGTCAATGTGGTAAAAACAGCACCAACATCACCAAAGGAGAGCCAATCTAACCACACACAGGGGTTAAGTAAATAGAGCATGTGTTGTAGTAGACTGAGCACTGCTGGTTGTGTTTTCAGACGCGGCGTCCAAGCATGCAGTGCAGGCGTTTTTTGACTGTCTGCGGGCGGAGGTGGAGGAGTTCGGCATCTCCGTCAGCACCATCAGCCACACCTTCATCAATGCTGGAGCTGAGAACGCCACGCCCACTGAAGCCACTCCCATAACTGCCACACCCACTAAAGCCACACCCACCAACCCAATTTGGGCCTGTGAGTCACTGAGGACCACGCACACACCTTGACTAGTGAAGTGTTCATTGGTAGTGCTGCGTGTGTCTCCTGACCTGAGCTGTTGTTTCAGACGTCTGCAGTAAGCTGAACACACACGGGGTGAGTCCGCAGATCCTGGCGCAGGAGATCGTGCGTTCGGTGAACAGACAGAGCCGAGAGGTGTTTCTGGCCCACCCCGTGCCCACCGTGGCCCTCTACATCCGCGCTCTGATGCCCGGATGCTTCTTCTCTGTGGTGTCGGCCGGCGTGAGGGACGGAGCCATGGCCGAACAGCTGAAATAAACACACACACACACACACCAAGAAACATGAGGCTACTAGCAGTGAATGAACTCAGTATAGACTAATCATCATGATCATATCTAGATATCAAACTGTCACCATGAGGAATAACATGCATATCAACACAATCAGTTTGTTTCTGGGTTCAGTTTAGACGTAGAGAGTTTATAAAATAACTAATTATAATATTATTATTATTATTATATAGACCATTTTAGATGGATGTAAACAATAACAATGGTCCTAATGCATTTCCTGTTTTACATTTTTAATTTCCGAAGCATGCGAGAATTCAAAAAGGTTGACATATTAATAAATAATGTTATGAGAGCTGATTTAACGTTAAATCATTATTGAGTTATTACAGTTATGAAGTATTCATGGGCCAATAACGTCACCACATTAAAATGGTCTATATTATTATAATCTATTGTTTTATTATGTACGTTTGTAAAAAAAGAGGAATATGTTTCAGCTAAAACCACCCATGTGGAAGCATACGATAGTGTTTATTGAGCCAGAGTATACTTCAGTTGATTTGTTGTGGTGATTCTACAGTTACTATGGTAACGCAACAAATATAGTAATTCAGTTGTTGTGGTGATTCTACAGTTGCCATGATAACAACAACTATAGTAATTGATCTGTTGTGGTGATTCTACAGTTGCCATGATAACACAACAACTATAGTAATTGATCTGTTGTGGTGATTCTACAGTTGCCATGATAACACAACAACTACAGTAATTGATCTGCTGTGGTGATTCTACAGTTGCTATGGTAACACAACTGTACTAATTGATCAGTTGTGGTTTTTCTATGGTTGCTATGGTAACAACTATAATAATATATCCGTTGTGGTGGTTCTACAGTTGCTATGGTAACACTACAGCTATAGTAATTTATCTGTGGAGGTCATTCTACAGTTGCTATGGTAACAACAACTATAACTATTGATTCGTTGTCATCATTCTATGGTTGCTATGGTAACAACTATAATAATATATCTGTTGTGGGGATTCTACAGTTGCTATGGTAACACAACAACTATAACTATTGATTTGCTGTTGTCATTCTATGGTTGCTATGGTAACAACTATAAAATATATCTGTTGTGATTCTACAGTTGCTATGGTAACACAACAACTACAGTAATGTAAGCAAATGACCCAATACTGTACTTTACTACAATTAAACTATATATTATATTACAATACGCCACAGTGCGCTGTAGTAAAAACTAAAGTACACTACAGTATTTATTACGGTTTATCACTTCACTACAGTTAATATTACAGTATGCTGGAAAATGCAACAACAAACTTTTTAATATACTGTATAATGTTCAAAAACACTAGTATTTGTTAAAATATTTTAATGAGCAGCAAAAAAAAATGTATATTTTTATTTATTTTTCAGCCAAACTAAAAGAAATGCGATTTTATCCATACATAAATCTGTAATGAGGAAAGCTGTGAAGACTGAAACAGCAGCTGTGAAATATTTGAAAATAGCTCTACATTTCACAGGAGGGCAAACAATAAAAGCATGAGAACACAGTGGCAATATAAAGGCAGGTGCACGCAGAAGTCTTTAGTTTCTGTCATCTTTTGTTCTTCAGTTTATTTTGACCCTGAGCTCCAGCAGAGGGCAGGCAAACTCCACACACACTGAGCAGAGAAGCACAAACACCAGCTCACACACTGACTATACACTGCAAACCATGCCTCTTCTTGTCTAGTTTCTATATTCCAAATCATTCATAGAATATTATGGTAAAATGAAAAACAAGATTATTTCACTCACCCCATTGGCAGATTATTTTATTTTATACACAAATAAACTGCATTTGTTACTCATTAAACTGGTACATTACTTATTAAACATTATATGTTAAAGTTAATAATGCTTAACTCATAATATAATAATATATCAAATTAAAACGACTAAAATAATCAGTTTGATTTTATTCAGAAATAATAATATTGAATACTTCTCATTTGGATAAGTTAAAAAATATATTACTATTAATAATGATTTAATAACATACTGTACTGTACAATTAAAAACATGTTCCTTATTGGCATTGATGGTTCCAGAACTTTAACATCCATGGAACCAAATGGTTCCTTAAAGCGTAAAAAGGTCTTAATAGATCAGTTATTTTATAATAATATATAATAATATACTTACTCTCACTCCCAGGGCTTTTTTTATCAAAGCTGATGTTTATCTGCACCATGTTGGTGTTTCGTAACATCTAGAATTTAAAAGGTGGGTCGTTAGCCCAGCATTCAACCGCCAATCTGGAGGACCAGAACACACACTCATACACTACGGCCAGTGTAGTTCATCAGTTCCCCTATAGCGCATGTGTTTGGACTGTGGAAGAAACCGGAGTACTCATAGGAAACCCACACCAACACGGGGAGAACATGCAAACTCCACACAGAAACACCAACTGACCCAGCCAAGGCTCGAACCAGTGACCTTCTTGCTGTGAGGCCACTGTGCTGACCACTGAGCCACTGTTTCATCCATATAATAATATATTCAGTGTAGTTTTGATTGCTTTCAGGAACCAAATAATAAGCTTATAGTTAAACCCCCTTTTGGTTTTTCTGGACGCCTTTATTTTAAAAACATTTGTGTCAGCTGGAAGACTGTGTGTGTGTGTGTGTGTGTCCCTGTAGACCTGATGTAAATGTGCTGATGTGTGTGTGTGTGTGTGTGTGTGTGTGTGTGTGTGTGTGTATTGTAGTTGTAGGTGAAGCTCTGATCATGTGTGATTTTGGTGAGTGTATCTGTTTCCAGAGGTCAGGAAACGCCTCAGGCTGAAACGCCTGACATCACACACACACACACACACACACACACACACACACACACACACACACACACACACACACACACACACACACACACACACACACACAAAAACTAAACACACTAGCACACTCTCTCTCATCGCTCACAAACAAACACACACACACACACACACAAACACACACACACACACACACACACATGGACATACTGTACAAAACACATAATTCTAACAAACGATAATATACTAGACTCTCTCTCTCTCTCTCACACACACACACGCACACAGAAATAAACTGAACACACACAGGAGTCTATAATGAGTAGAGAGTGTGTGTTGTTATGTAAATGAGTGTGAGCAGCTCTCTGACACAGAGTTGAAGTCCAGCTGGCCTCCGTGAGTCTTTATCTGCAGGTCATCGAGCCCTCGGGGACTCGGCCCTCAGGAGCCAACGCACTGACAGCTGAATGAATCATGCTAATCATCTGCAGAGTCATACACATATTCACACACATACACACACACACACACACACACACACACACGTCTACAAAAACACACACCTGCAAAAACACACACCTGCAAAAACAGTTGCAAAACCACACAGTTGCAAAAAAACATTCACAAAAATACACACACAGTCTTAAATACACAGTCGCAAATACAGTCATAAAGACATTGTTGCAAAGACAGTCGTAAAACAGTCGCAAAGACAATCGCAAAAACAAAGTCGCAAAAACACTGTGTAAAAACAGTCGCAAAGACACAATCGTGAAAACAAAGTTGCAAAAACACTGTAAAGACAGTCATAAAGACACAGTCGCAAAAACACTGTGTAAAAATAGTCGCAAAAACACAGTCATAAAAACAGTCACAAAGACATTCGCAAATCACAGTCGCAAAGACACTCGTAAAACACAGTCACAAAGACATTCGCAAAAACACAGTCACAAAGACATTCGCAAAAACACAGTCACAAAGACATTCGCAAAAACACAGTCACAAAGACATTCGTAAAAACACAGTCACAAAGACATTCCCAAAAACATAGTCGCAAAGACACTGTCGCAAAGACACAGTCGCAAAGACAGTTGTAAAAACACAGCCGCAAAGACACAGTCGGAAAAACAGTCGGAAAGACACAATCGCAAAAACAAAGTCGCAAAAACACTGTGTAAAAACAGTTGCAAAGACAGTCATAAAGACACAGTCGTAAAAACACAGTCGCAAAGACACTGTCAGAAAAACAGTCGCAAAGACAGTCACAAAGACAGTCGTGAAAACACAGTCGCAAAAACACAGTTGCAATAACAGTTGCAAAAACAGTCACAAAGACACTGTCGTAAAAACACAGTCGCAAAGACAGTTTTAAAAACAATCACAATGACACAGTCGCAAAGACACTGTTGCAAAAACACAGTCACAATGACAGTTACAAAAACACAGTCACACAGATACTGTCATAAAAACAGTCAAAAGATTGCTGCAAAGACACTGTTGCAAAAACACAGTCTCAAAAACAAAGTCGCAAAGACATCGTCATAAAACCCATCACAAAAAAGACACAAAACAGATGCATTATATGTCTAAATACCAGGCATCCTAATATTGTTGAGCGATGGACGACAAGGAATTTATGTATTTCCACATGCGGCTGTTAAAAACACAAATGTGCTTTTATTCCTATTTAAGGGCTGTGTTTATCGACATGTTGATTTATTGTCTGATTGAGCACCTGCTTCTCTGCGTTGTTTATCCCAGATTACACTTTAATCTGCCGTTTGTATTAAACTCTTACTTTTAAGGACACTTGGCCTGATGAGAAAGGCTTTTGTTCTTCATCTCCGACTGTTCTTAAAGACGCTGTGTGATTGTCTCATTTCATTATAAATGTCAATTCATTTAAAGGGTGATGCAACAACTCATTTTCATAAAGACATGACAAAAGAAACAATAAAATAAACAATTAAGAACACTAAAGCTCTCATTACAATCCAAAGCAACAATAACTGATCTAATGACATTAATTATTGTGTAAGATTTTGGCCGTCAGCCACGTCTGCCTGAGGAATGCATGTGTAGCAGATGCTGTAAATGAAGACTTTCTGCATTTCACACACTCGTCATTAGACTTGTATTAATGATGGTTGGTTAATTAGCGGCATTAATTACATTAATGAGCCAGACATTATGACACACATGGCAGAAAACGTAATCACTCTATCCAAATCAGCGGAGTCTGCTGTCCGTTTTCAGCCTTTCATTTCAGGAATAATATTAAAGAGAATTAAGTGATATAGTTTTAGGAAGATCTGAATCTTTAAAATAATATAACTAATACATGCAAATATAATAAATCAATAACTATTATATAATGTAATTTATTAATTAATAAAAATATATAATTGAAATGGTTTCCCAGTGATGGGTTGCAGCTGGAAGGTCATCCACTGCGTAAAAACATATGCTGGTTCATTCCACGGTGGCACCCTTTGATGAAAAGAGACTAAGCC